ATGTAGACTTTTAGAAAATAATAAATATATAAAGATGTACTTCTTTCTTATTATATCTACAAAATGATTTTAGGATAGATTTGGGATGATAATATGAACTGTTATAAAACAAACTAAGTAAATTATTTTTATCTTGTAAAACATGAATGAATAAAAGTATAGTCAAATGATTGATTAATAATGATACTAAGATATTTAATTTTTGATTGAAAATACGAGATTATATGCAATGTAATTGTAATTGAAGACTACGAAATGGAAGCACAAAACAATTTGTAAACCAACCAGCACACTGTATGTATACATATGGAAGATGGCTTGATGTTTTTATGTTTTGTTTGTTTATGTTTGTTTTTAAAAACCAATAAAAACTTTACTTCCAATGACAGCCTTGGGCCTATCCCAGATCATCCAGAGCCTGACTCAGGACAATGGTCACGTTCTAGATTTGGTGTTCCTGTTGGAGCAGTGGCAATATGATCCAAAATGGCGGGAGCTAACCCTACCCTCTTTGTTGTGGCTGGATCATATTCTGTTTTCTTGGGATTGTCCAATGCCATGACCTACCACAGAGAGGTTGGACCATCTGAAATCTGGGCTGCTACTTGCAATAAGGGGGTGGCTGAGATCTTTGATCAGATTATGCCCATGCAACCTCTCCCTTCTCAGGAATCCCAGTACTCCCCGCGATTTGAGGTAGACCTAAGATGTATACAGAGATTAAAGGGCTGTGCAAATTATCACCTGCACTTTAACAACAAATTTTAACCCACTGTCCTTTAAATATTTAGATGAAAAACCCTAGTCTGGAAACCTTTCAAAAAGCTAACAGAGGTCTTTTTCTACTCAGCCCATCCTGCAATATCCTGACCCCACTTGGCCATTTTGTAATAGACACTAGTACTTCTGGTTTTTGCAGTAAGACATTTTGCTATAAGATGCAGCGAAAACACAGAGCTCAGCATTTATTTCTCAAGGAAATTAAACCATTAGAACAGCACTATACTATCCAGGATGAGGACTGCAAAGGTAGCCTTTGAAATTTAGAGGCATTTACTAGGAGGAGAAATGCTGGGGAAATCAGAACATAATAACTGGAATACCTGCAAACTCTTCATTAGCTAAATCAGTGACAGTTCTAGTGGTCTTTGCTTTTTCTCCTGGATTAGTTTTGAAATGGTTTATATTCCTAGCCTTTAGGAAAAAATGTACAAATATTTTGGCCTGGAAATTGGAATAATAATGGAAGTGCTCTTCTTAAGAATTTTGCATTGTGACACCTCCAGTCCATTAATAAACGGCTGAACAGGAGTTCTGAATGTGAACCCCCAGGTTATATAAAAACTCAGAATATTCCTAATGTCCATTTTTCCTAAGAACTTGTATTCCTACTATTCTTCATTACTAAGACTGCTGTTATATTTCCCTGGTAATTTAAAAAAGTAATATGACAGCTCATTTTGGACACTAACATCTTTCATGTGGTCCTGAGATACTTCTAGTGGCCACAATTAAGAACAAAAGTTAAAAAAAATCTTCTTGCACAGTCTATCATCATGCCAAGGGCAGAAGCTGAGTTTACCTCTCTCATTATAAACCTGTCTAGCTATTAAAACCTGCAGATTTCATGGAGATGTTTCTACTGTTGGAATCATTATTCGAAGGAGCTGCATTTGGTTTTCATGTTCTCAACATTTTCAAAATCTGTATCTTGCCATTTCCCCCTCCTAAAGAATGATGGTAAAATAGCAGAGACCAAAATACTTGATTTTCCAGTTTTCAATTTGTATCACTTTTCAATCTTATCCATTTAGGTCTATCTTCTAGACATTCAATAACATTCTAATGGCGACCTATGTGAGAGCCCATGTATGCTATTTAGAGGTTGTTATTTATAATATTGGTCATCCTTATGTGCGTAAGATCTTTTCTCAGTTCAGAAGAAAATGAGACTACCAGAAAGTTGGTTAACATCCCTTCTGGTCTATGACATGTTTGTTTCATTGCTTGGGTTAGCCATTTTGTTATTGGTATTGTTATATGCTTTTTGTTTGTTTTATTTTTAATTTGTTACCTTATAAGGAAGATGGTAGTATAAAAATTAATAAAAAACAAACAGATTGGAGTCAGGTGATCCATGTAAATAAATAAATAGACAAGCAAGCAAGCTGACTAGACAGCTTTAAGCAGTGCAATATGGAGACTTGGTTCTTGGGAACAACTCTGTGTTCCCAACCACTGCCATTCCTTCCCACCACTGCATCTCACGGGAATGCTCTTATTTCAGTATCTGAAAAACAGAAAACAGGAAGCCCCAGCACTTCCTATGCTTGCTTATTAAAATTGCTTGCTTATTAAAATTGAGGTGATTAAGTGAAATGCAATACAGCACTATGGTTGATCGCAAGTACATCAAGAGTACATCAAATCCAATAGAGAGAAGTGCAAAGAATAAATAATACATGCTGATTTTGGAAGGCTGAGACGCAAGATTTTGTTCTTGCTTGGTTTTTTTTTTTTTTTAGAAGGATGGCTGTTCTTCTAATTAAAGTGCAGCCATTAAAAGTGGGGTGGAAGTGAGAGAATCAAAGTGCATCCAGGGCTTTTAATTATTAAATGTGGTGACCAAAATGGATTTATTCATGTTGTTATGGAGGAAAAGTCTCTCTTGCCACCTTGAAAGCTGCATTCTAAAAATTCTTATTTCAATGTATAAGAACCAAAGCATGGAGTGTCTTTGGGAGCAGATTCACTAACACAAGTCAGGATAATTATGAGAGGGACAGGAATTCAAATATTTTAGAGCAGGGCTTCCAATTATATGCTAGGAAACAAAGGGACCTCTTGGAAAACAATTAGTAATAGTCTGGTCAGAACCAATACCTTAAATTAAATCTTGGTGCTTGTACTATTAGGTTAGTACCTCTACACGCTCTGGAGCAGCTTTTCGGTTCTTTCAGAGAGATCTCCCCATCCTGTTTGGAACGCAAAAGCCTAAAGCTGATCTCCGCATGAAATGTTTGTGCTCTATCTCTTGGTTTTGTTTGCTTCCATAAAGGTGATCCTGCATGCCAGATCTCAGGATACTTTGAGTTAAAGGATCTCCCTAAGTGAAGGTTGGAGAATCTGTGCCTCTCCAGGTGTAGAAGAAATACAATCTTCTAATTTTTGATAGCTGAGAACTGTGACTTCATGGCCTGGATCACTTGGAATCCAATACTAAGTTCCTGGCTCCCTTATGCTCAAAGGATTGCTCAAATTACTTTGGTCATATGCTCTAAAACAGGGGTCTCCAACCTTGGCAACTTTAAGAGTTATGAACTTCAACTCCCAGAATTCCTTAGCCCACTTTGCTTAAAGCAGGGATCCCCAAACTTGGCAACTTTAAGATTTGTGGACTTCAAGTCCCTGAATTCTCCAGCTACCTGGCTAGAGAATTCTGGGACTTGAAGTCCACAAAGTCTTAAAGTTGCCAAGGTTGGAGACCTCTGTTCTAGAACACAGGTCTAGGTCATTGGAACTTTGAAGGACATCTCTGGAGCTTACACTACAAAAGGGGGCTTAGGTGACTAAATTAATTAAATATTAACAACATTACTCATAATAAACATATGTTTTTACAAATGCACCTCCAGCAATTTACATCTCCTCAGTTTTCAGCTGATTTACAAGTTTAAAATGAATTTAGAAACATACAAGCAAAATATTGTAAAAAAAAATGCTCTGCCTATTTTTTCCTTTGTGCCTTTGAATACTGGTGACTACAGGAGTCTGCAGTTTTCTTGGCAAGATTTTGGAAGTGGTTTGCCACTGCCTCCTTCCTAGGCCTAAAGTAGAGTGACTGGCCCAAGGTCACCCAGTTGGCTTTGTTTTTAAAGACAGACTAGAACTCACGTCTTCCTGCTTCTAGGTCGGTGCCCTAACCTCTGCAACAAACTGGCTCTCTGTTCCTACATATGCTCTCCCATATAGACACAAGAGAAGATGGCAAGATAAGAAGGGAATGAAAAACATTATTGATGGTACTGCTGGGGATATGAGGTGGACCTGGACTTTCAGATACTGCAGTTTAAACCCATGTGCTAAAGAACAAGAAGCAGATCTTTCTATTTGACTCAGAAATCTCACCTGTCCTTTTTAAAAAACATTGAGATGGCAAGCACAGTACTTTTTATTATTTTTAGCTGTGCCAAAAAGGAGGTCTACCCACTGAACTATTGTGTATGCTCTTGGTATGCAGGGTTCCTAGGAGTAAAATTCACATTTGTCACTATAAAAATATAAATCATCTTATAAAACATCAGAGTACTTATCCATTTAACTCCATATTTTTAACTGCCCCTTTAAGATTTCATCCAAGGGTTTCTCTCCTGTTAGCTAGTCAATAACTTTTCTAACTAGAGTCATAAAGATATAAAGAACTGCAGCTGGGAAGTTTTATATGTGACAGTACTCTACTTTTGATAAATGACTTCTCTTCCATTATGATTATAATACTATTAACATTATTATAACCATTTTATTTTCAATCTTTCTTCCTAATGGGGAAATAAGCCAACTTACTGTTCATCCAATTTACTGTACATATCCTGTCTCTACGCTGCAGCCTCCCTTTCAACTATAGCTCCTGTTCAGAGAGTTAGATCTGATCTAACTCTGCTTTGCTTCAACTTTGTCATCTGCAGCATGCAGGCTTCTTTTCTAGCTGAGACATGGGTTAAAAAACAGCCTGCCCAGCCTGTTTTACATGAATTAGAGCAGTGTTTTTCTAACTTGGCAACTTTAAGATGCGTGGACTTCAGCTCACAGAATTCCCAGTCAGTCTGCTGGCTAGGGAATTCTAGGAGTTGAAGACTTCCTATCTTAAAATTTCCAAGTTTGAAAAAACACTGAATTAGAGCCTCTCTCATTATAGTCTGTTGTGTTCAACGTTTCTAAAACTGAGCGTAGAAAATAGGAGTGAGCTGACCGTTTGAAGCCAAACACTGAAACAAAAAAAATGCAATTATTGCTATAGAAACTCACATATTTTCTGAGTTTACTTATGTACCACGTGGCAGTCAAAGGAAGGTAATTCCAAAAGAGTCAAGACAAAAAAACATGTTGTCAGATACAGTATTAATTCTCCCAATCGAAGACAAACATTAATAGTATTGAAGTAGTATACACATCGGGACATGAGGAACCATTTTGCCCCTAGACCATCAAGCTTCCTGTTCTTTCTCACCCACCTTTTCTCAGATACACAGAGAGACCTCAGCCCACTTTCTCCTTTGCCCATTCCTTCATCCTTTCCCGAACCCCACTAAAAATCTCCAGCTGGCAGAGATAAGAGTGCATTAGTTCCTGCCCCACAGGTGCTTTTTTTTTCAAAAGGCAACTGGACTTTTCTAGGGTTTTTTCCCCCCTTGAAAACTCATCTACTTTGAAGAAGCTTCTTAGATGAGGGGCAAAACGTTTTCAAGGAGAAAAAAACAAGAAAAGCACCTTGGATGATTATCTCACTTGGATGATTGAGATACTCTATAGACATTATGTCCTGCCATTAGTGTCAATAAGAAACAAGTGGTTCATGATGCAAGACTGGTATTAACATAGAACATTTATATTTTTGATAATTATGGATTCTGTTTTTCTAACTCTACCCTTTTCATATAAATAGTTCATGTAAGACAGGGGTGTCAAACACATGGCCCGCAGGCCAAATCCGGCCCACAGGGTGCTTAGATTTGGTCCGCGGGGCTGGTCTGCAGACGGCAAAGAACTGGCCCACAGTCCCTCTGCTAATTAAAAAGAACTCCATTTTCGCTGGCAGAGAGCTATCAAAACAAATTAAAAACAAAACAAAAGGAGAAATGTTTCCCCTTTTGCAATTAAGCATGCAAGAAAGGAGAAAAGAGGAAAGACAAAATGAGAAGATGTGAAGACAGCAAGAAGGGAAAAATAAGGAAAGATGGGAAGTAAGAATGAGGGAAGGAAGGAAGGAAGGGAAGGGAAGGGAAGGAAGGAAGGAAGGAAGGAAGGAAGGAAGGAAGGAAGGAAGGAAGGAAGGAAGGAAGGAAGGAAGGAAGGATTATAAGTGTGAGGGAGGGTCTCAGGGAAATCCTGCCCTAGCACTTGGCCACCACAGGTGCTCCCAAACACAAGTCCCATGTCACGCCTCCCCATGGCCATACCCCCAGCCACGCCCCATGCCCCCCCAGCCCTCCGAAGTCAAGCCCAACCCTGATGTGGCCCTCAATTAAATTGAGTTTGACACCCCTGATGTAAGAAACTTGAGATTGAGAAACCATAAAGAGGATGAAATACAGAAAGTAAATTGCATATTTACCTGAGTACTCCAGAGTTGCAGCACCATGGCTCTAGTTTGCATAACTTCATTCACACCAAGATCTACCAAGTGTTCCTTATAGATGGTCAACCAAACACTTTGGTTTGCTCTGCTGTTCAGTTTTTCCATAGGAAAAAAGTTCCAGAGATCCTTCCTGATGTTGTAAAAGTTCTGTTTTTCCACTGAACAGAGAAGCACCAGAGATATAAATATAGATGACAGGTGGTTACTATTGGGGCCTTCCTCCAATAAAATTAGAAGGCCTATCTTATTTAATCCTGAGAGCAACCATGTAAAGTTGGCATTCTCAATTTTTATTACATATTTTAAGAAAACAAATTTATGATCTCTCTCTCACTCCCTCTCTCTTTTTCTCTCCCCTCCCTCCATCTCTCTTTCTCTCTCTCTCCAGGGGGCTTTGGGGCCCTTACTGAAGAGGGATAATAAATAAATGAAAGTAGCTTTCCATCATGCTACCAGGTGAATTGCATGGGTGATCAAGAATTCGATCCTTAAAGCCAAACATTATGTCTGAATTTTTAGCTCGGTTCACTCAGGATGTATTTATTTTCAGGTCTTGTATACCTTAATTACTTGCACATCTAGCAGGTACCAGGCTGAGAAAGACTTTTCTATGGATTAGCTCAGGGATCAAGAACTCAGAGGAAGAAAGAGAGAAAAGGGAGGGATGGAGGGTTAAGCAGGCAAACTGTATGTGATTAGTGAGGCAGGTGCTGTTGCTTATCAACCTGGAACCACAGGTAGAAGGCATAGTGGCATCTACAGAGTCTCTCACAGACATTCATTAACAGAACTGGTGCATACACACGTTTATTTCTTTCACTCTCTATAAGCTGTACTCCCCACCCCAATTGTGCTATGGGAAGCACAATTATTTGTGCAGGATGTTTTCTGTGTTTGTTTAACAAGGTGCTCTGTGTGTGTGAGAGAGAGAGGGAGGGGGAGGGGAGAGGGAGAGAGGGAGAGGGAGAGAGATTGTGAGGACAGTAGACAAGTCCCTGCAGTTTTCTTGGCAAGATTTCGGAAGTGGGTTGCCACTGCTTGCTTCGTAGAGCTGAGACAGAGGGACTGACAGTTGGTTTTGTGCCTAAAGCAGGACTAGAATTTCCCACCTCCTAGTTTCTAGCCCAGAGGTCTCCAACCTTGGAAACTTTAAGACTTGTGGACTTCAACTCCCAGAATTCTCCAGCCAGCTTCAGTTGCCAAGTTTGGGGGGCCCTCTTCTAGCCTGATGCTTCATCAATCTAGTTCTCATTGAGGCATATCTACTTAGAAGTAATTTCAACTTCTCAGAAATTAGAGGTATTTGAGGTCCAGCCTCAATTATACTAGCCTCAAGATGGCCAATCTCAGCTTTTCGAACAGTATGCACTCTGCTATCCAACAAGGTATATGCTAACTGGAAGACTAGACTAGACTTCCAAGGTCCCTCCAACTCTATTATTCTCTAGTTTATATTCTAGTTCTCATTAGGTATTTTTCAGCTTTAAGGGTGAAACAAGTTGCAGGTTAGTCTTAGCCAACTATGGGTGCAGGTCCCGAGCTCTACAGATCAGAGGACCTTCAAATGATCACCATGCAGGGGAAATGGTGGCAAGCCATAATGCATTAGGTTCTGTGTTTCAGTCATTTCTACAGCTGTCAATGACAGAGTCATTTTAAGGTGTTTATTGTATCACAACATGATGATAGATGCTTGATGATGAAAAGGTACATCACGATTATCCTACTTGCGAGTATTTTTTTCTTTGAAACACTTTTACTAATTTAAACACTGGCAAGAAAAAGAGTTCTGCTTATTTTGTAAGCTTGGACTGAAAACACTGACAGAATCGTTATAAAATTATCCTATTATCTCATCTGCAAGAAACGAGGAAAGCTGGATGGACCCTACCCATTTCAACAGCCTGTAATAAAAAGGATCTAAAAGGTTGCACAATGGCGCCATCTACTGTTTGTAAATTTCCTTTTCCCAATAGTGGCATTTAAAAGATGTGGTTGTTTACTACTCTTCCAGGAAGAAACAGCTTCACCAACAATAATAAGATTACTAACATTACCTCTTTTATGAGGTTGCATTTATTCTATTAATTAATCACATTTACTCAGTAGTTTTATAGGTTGTTTTTTTTTTGCTTGTTTTGTTCCAGGGAAAATCTCTTTAATAGAGAAGTAGCAACTACGGTACTCATATTAAAATACTACGTATAGTGTAAATATAAACATGATTTAAACATGGAAACTATACTATCTATCTTTCTATCTATCTATCTATCTATCTATCTATCTATCTATCTATCTATCT